GCTAGGACATATTCTGCTGTTAAATTTATTATTTCCAACTGTTTTGCAATAGTATTTTCTAGATTGAAGGCAGCATTTATAGTTCATTCAAAGTTCAAAGTTGCGTTGGGATTACGTTGATACAGTGTAACTATGTCGGCGCCGGTGATCTCAGTGTGCAGACAATGTAGCCAAGATATAAAGCATGATCAACACTGCTATTACAAGCCTAGTAAGAGGTAATACATTTGGGGCGAAAGTATTCCAATTAGTGGCAGTACGACCTGCCTGTCAAGTATGAACAAAATCAACCGAGCCAAAACAATCACAGAAGAGTAAAAAAGCAATTCTTGGGAACAGTAACCCCAACTGTACCAAGGTATACTTCTGCCAATAATGACAAGGCACTTTTTCATGATCGTGATTTTAAATCGTATATATTGCATATTTTCAAAATGTGCATGTAACAGAGGGAGTCCTTGTCCTATTTCATGCATGGTTAATGAGGTAGAGCGACGTGATGCATAAATTGGGCATTTAGATTTAGTATTTAAATGTCATGCTGTCTTTACCCAAGTTCGCAAATCCTGTGTAAGGTTGTCCTTAAAGCTATGTATAGCTACATATATACATGTTATAACAGTTGTTTCTACTTTTACTTAAGTTCGAAAAGTTTTCGTCATATGTAGGCATCATCATTTTTGCAGCATCGTTTACATTTATTTCTAGTCATCCAGCTTTTCATTTATTGTTAAGATCTTCTTTTTTGATTATAATTTTATGGTTTTGTTTTTTATTATGCGTTTATATGGTTGAATTTATTGATAGCTCTACAGTTGAGTACTTTTAACATCCATCAGTGATTTTGTAGGTCAGAGTACTTTAGTTCGTTTGTTTTCGACATATCCCATAGTGCATTTTGGAAATTTCCACTCTGTTTTCGTACCTTTCTTGTGATACTTCAATTGTGTTTCCACCACTTACAACGTATCATCGGTAAGTTACATCTATTTCGACGACTAAGGTAGTAAATTAAGATATTTTGATATTTCGACGACTTTTTACGGAAGGTCGTAGGATTCAAATCCAGCGGGGAAAGTTCTAAGACTGATTTAAACTTACCTCTTGATACCACGAAATCGAAACTTCCGGGTGCCTTTCTTGTTGCAGTTAACACCCGATTTAACCTTCTCTCAGTAGTATACATTAACTCTTGAAGGCAGGTTTTTGTTTAAAACTTAAATACCATGTTTCGGCTTAAAAAGTAGTTAAAAACACTTTGGTACTGTCACATAATATTCCGATGAGGTGTGCATCATTAATCACTGACCCATTCAAGGCGAAGACTACATGATTCGGTTGAGTCAGTTGTTTTACTTAACCTCAGTAAAATTATTTCCATAATTATATTGCTTGTCTATTCTTAAATAAACCTTGTGTGATATCCACCCAACCCCGTGTTCATGATTTATAACACTGTGCGTGCCTATTAGAACGTATACACGTTATAAACAGGATATTTTAAATCGATAATTGAAATGCAATGTAATGTACAAGGCCCTCTTCAACCAGCAAATAGAGCAAATGTTTTTGTTTCTATATTAAATAGTATATGAAGGCTACTATATCAACAAACACACCTTCATATCCCAGCAAAAAATAATTCCAATAATAGAATCGTTATTTTCCATCAAATTGAACCTAGCAAAACCATAGGTGCAATATGCTGCACCTAGCAAAGCACCTTATTAAAATAGACATAATACAATATTATATTACTTGGCTATATACTTCCAAGCTCTACTAAATACATGCCTGGTGTACCCTAAAGCTGACTTACAAGCAAATGTAAGTCAATCTATATGCGACATTTCCACTATTTACCTGAACATACGTTCTTGCAATGACAGTTAGACCATTAATTTATGAAATGTTCATGATTATGACAAAGCAGGTCGGCTACGCTCTGCAAAGTGAAGCATTAACTGCCCTTTATCCCGTCCTGTCAGTGATATCACGGTTACTATGTAATGACAATTGACAGGTGATTAACCCCGCCACCGTCATTCGAGTGTGGAAACACTTAACATATATTATGTATTAAATCCCGCATAATTGGTTTCTATTGTGTAATAGACATCTGGTACTATCCCACGGCGCCCTCAATCTTTACAACTTGGAAATTCAAATGAGAAATTAATAACTGAACATCGTGTTCTATCTTATGATGTTATACAAGTGCTTGTAAACTGTTTTCTCGTAGCTGCGTTTACCTTTATCAATCAATAACTGAAATCACTAATTAACTTACTAGTGCTATCGCTAAATAAATATTCATAATTTGTCAACATTTAACTCATTACCTGACCTGTGGCATTGGAACCAGCCATTTGAACCAGACTATTGGCATACTGATAAGTGTAACACAATTAATATGTACTTCATAAGACTTGCAAGTGTCAATTTTCGGCGGTATTGTCATAAGCGGCGATTTGAATAATAACAAAAATATGCACTCGGAGGCAGATTTGACTGACTAGCCAGCCAGCCAATCAACCAGCGTGTTTCACATATAAAGGTTACCGTATGTTGACTCGGAACAATTGGTCTGCCATGCATAATTTATGTAATACGTCTGTGTTTATTTTAGTATCAAAAGTAAATCACTGACCTCTGTGTAATGGCGTACTAGCTTTATTGGTGACGACTTTGTGTTCAATGCATTTTTACAGGTGGAAATTAGGTTTTCACCTGATATCCGTGCCACAGTTCCGTTGTACTTTTGTTTAAATTTAAATTTCCATTTTGCTACAGATATAATGTCAAAACTAAATATACAATAAGGTGTACATAAATTTTATTGGATGTAATAAGGAGTATGTAGCATATATAAATTATAATGTCGCAGATGAACAGCTGTGTTTAATTTACGAAAAAACACAATATGCTTTCATCTATTTTTTTATCGGTTAGAATGCAATCTATAACTACAAACAAACTGACTCGAGTATACACGTGCCGTGGTGAAAATAACGTAAAACTAACATGTCATGAATATTTAATTCGATAAAACACACAAACCATGTCAATATTCCTTTAAATGGTATTGTGTCAACATTGGAGCAGTTTCACTCAGAACAGCATACGGTATTTAATAGTGTGATCAAGTTGTCGGACAACCACACGTGACGCGCACCTACATGTGAGTATATCTGCAACTGTCGCAAATATATGTTCACATATGTTACACCTATATACGTATTTATATGTATCAACAAAAATCTTCAGTTGCACTTACCGTTGGGTATTTTAACTAGTTGCCTGTGATATTTTTTATAAAATGTGCTAGTACACAGTAAGCTCAAAATATTGAAAATAATTATGTCACCAGACAGGCCAAGCAATGATACTATTTATCCACGGGATACAGGTTACGACATATAATCGTTGGGCACGTGATTCCCACTGTCTGGGTACATCATAAAATCCGATAGGATGGCTTCAGCCTCATTCCTATTTTGGATTGGGCTAAATCGATTGGTACATGTCGAGCTGGGTTGGTTATTCCTAAAATACTATACCATAACTTCATTTTTAAGATTATTCTGAAATACAGAAATAACTTTAAAGCAAGCAATACAACAATTATAACTGCACCCTACATCGAGCGGTGACACAAATTCACACCCGTATTTCGGCGTTATTTATTCGTGTGGTTTATTGTTAGCAGGAAAGTCGGTATTTGTAAAATTCACTCCATCGACATATTTTCAACAAAATACAGACGCAAATTGGCACCGTACACTATATTGCGTCTTGATGGTTGACATAACTATCAGGTTCACTAGCGTTCATATTAATGAAATCATACCTAAATTACTTTATAATATGTGCAACTGTTAGACAGGCGTGTTTCTGTTTCTGTGATTTATGTAATAGTGAATTCACGGACAGACATCAAATAAAATACCGCAGTTACACGATTATATTCTTTTTATGTCCAAGCTATTAAAGTAATGGTAATACGAGACGCCATCCAAGGTGTTCGACATTGTGCAATAGTGCGTGGTATACTAGGAGTCTAACGGGAGTGGTCGTCTCTCCTACTGTGTACACTCATTCTCGTCTTTGCCTTATTATAACGCATACATTGAATAGTGTAGGGCGGATTCATATTTGATTTTACCAGTTCGATGACCCGAATGAACCATCACCCCTCTCTTCATGTCATTATTAGTATTATTCATAGGTCGAACACATGTCGATACATAACACATGCATCGAATCAGCTTTCACATGGTAATTACCTACGCTTTATATAACAGGCAATTGCACCGTGTCTTACAGCATCAAAGAATCATACAGACGAGCTAAATATATCATTCAGTATGACAGCCATATATTATCTGCTTTTATTCATCTTAATTTCCAGGTAAGATATTATCCATATTTCACGACAGCTATATAGAAAATTCAAGTATTTCTTCATCAGACGCTAAGGAAATAAGGAATGAATGCATGCAGCGTGTCGTACACACTTGTATTCATGAGTGTAGCTAGTGACAACAAATCTTTCCGCTGTGTTTCATAACATACCGTAACACACGCTCTCGTATGTATAAATCCAGTTTATCGTGAATAAAACGTCGGTAGAATTCAGTGATTATACATGTGAAATGTGCCAACATAATATAGATATGAGTCACATTATTCCAAGCAATAATGTTTAATTTCAAGAGGACAAAATCACATGTACAAAATTATACAATTATAACGTAATAATACGAATAAATATGGGAATTTACAAATTAATCCCTTATCCATTGTCACGTGTACTGTCAACTTCCTGCGCCAGGTCTATGCGAGCCACATGTACCTTTCATCCCGACATATGTTTACTGTGACTTAACGTTTTGTCCCCAGAGTATTCATCATGCCATTGCTATGTATATATGTCCATGTTTTCATTGTTTCAATGCAACAGTGTTCCTGTGACAATACCAGCAACGACGCCGATGACGATGTCGACGCCGGTAACGGACACACCCTCCAAGAAGAGAATCGATGAAGTATTAAGAGGAAACTATGATAAGAAGTATAGACCAAACATGCATGGTAAGGAATGGAATGACTTTGAATTTCATTAACGTGCACGTGTCATTCGGACGGAACATCGTGTACTTACTTGAAGCACATTAACATATGACTCATCTATGGCACGGCACAACATTAAACCAGAGCAGAAATTAGTGGGACGTGGCACAATTTTGTGTCAAGCGGTCTAATTCCGGAGAGGACCAATCAGAACAGTCATGCAGAGTGTATTCAATGCGTAAACAATTCGTTTGTATTATTGACACTCTTTGTGTTCATGACTGGTAGCTCGGTCATTGACCTTTATTCTAGCAGTACTATGCACACTTGGTAAATATACAGTTATTATTTTATACTATATACATTTTAACCCCAACAATCAGAATATATCTGTATTACGATTTACTATGTTCTCCTTGAAAAATCCAATGAATTGGTATAATCAAACAATTGTTGTTGGTTCTATGAATGTATAAATGTTTGCGTTATGTAGATAATGCAATATACAGTTAAATTAGATGTCACTACAGTAACGCTGTTGGTTTGTGTGTGGGGGTAATACTACTCTGAATATATGATTGATGATATAACACTTTGAACAACTCTGTATATATCTACGTCAACAAACGAAACAGGAACTTGAGTGAACACGTTTGAAATGCCCCGTAAACGTGAACGTACTCTTAGGTGATAGGCTCTCACTAATGAAATATTAATAGACTGATGTGTATGCACACTGCTTCCATTAATAGTATTTACTACATTTACGTGTAGGCTGACATATTTGCAGATAATGTGAAAAAGTGTGAAATTCGACAATCATGTAGATACTTGATTTCATTTTCTCAAAGCCTAGCAAGACACGCGTTATTCAACAAGATGCAGGCAGGTTACAGTCGTTTATGCAGTATTGCCATATTAATTTCAAATACTATATCTAAAATTAAATAAATTTCTCACTAGGTTAATAAGATATGTCGTATTATTATATATATATATAGTATATTATCATATATGCGATGATTTTGCATTCGTCGTGTAAAATATTGTAAGCTACAAAGCATTAAAAAATACATGATACAACAATGGACCAGCCATTGTTAACATTAGCTAAACAAATCTATGCAGGCGACTTCAATTGAAAACGTATACAACAGTGTGCATTTTAGCCGTTAAAGGGGTCAACTTTTGGGGTCAACTAAATCAAAAATGACATGGGACCTGCGAGACACACCTTCAGAAATAAACAAGAGGAAAACATGAAAATGCTATAATTGTTTATTGCGTCACAACGCCGGTTTGCTAAACCGTGAATTGAATAATTTGTTCCAAAAGATTACCAACTGAACAATTCATAGAAATCAGCCCGAATCGTGGATTGCAATTCAGATCACATCTCCAAGGAATTAATGTGGGTCATTCAGTAGAATGACTTTTTGATAACATAATCGAGAACACTAAATTTGGATAATTTCTCTGTAGTTACGAATATTAGTAAACAAAGCATTTTTCAAAAGACTGCCATCTAAAGTGTTTTAACACTTGACAAGTGTCTTACATTGAATTTGTTCATCTCGTAGTGATAAATGATTTTCTTTTCGAAGAAATACTTCTTCCCGATTTGTCAATATAGCTTATATTATAACTGCAGCTCTAATAGCTGAATTCTGTTACCATTTTAGAAACGCTAACAAATACATACACAATACTAGTAGTACATTAAGGAGTATTAATCTGCAAGTACCTATATCGTGTGTTCCGCTACTTAAGTTACTGCACCAAGTTCTGCCTAAGCAGTGACAGATCGATCTACGGAGTCTGTGAATAATTTGTAAGTGATAGGTCTACATGAATGACAATCCATCAGGAATAGTCAATAAAACACAATTGTAAATGTATAGTTACTATAAATAAATTAAGTCAAAAGGCCATTTGTATACCATGTGCACTTCAATTATTCTTCAAATATGATTAGAACAAGACAATCGGATTCCATAGTTTATGTTAGTTGCTGTAATTATACCATGATTTGACAGAATACTGTTATTGTATTACTATTATGCTGGTAATTTGCCAACCGCTGACGATATCATCGACAATTACGACACTATCTCGTGTATAAAAGCGTTTTTACTAACGCCATTTGGACGTACGGCTGTAAGAATAGTAACAAATTCACGTAACATGATGATGTAATTAGCATATACATAAACTACAGAAACTGAATCCACAACCCGTCAGTTGAAACAGCGAATTGACCTTTGACGCAAATAGAAACCAAGATTTCGTACAAAGCGAGAGAGTCACGATACATATTTCCCCCTCAAAAGACAAGTGTTTATTTCTCACCCGTCATTGCTTTCACTGATGCCATGGCGTACGTATCTATGGTATTCGAAATAGTGAACCCGATGACGTGAGACATTGAAACAATGTTTTATGGGGAAAACGAATCCCTTTGACGTGTCCTCCTCGACGAGATCTCGTCGGCTATTTGCATATGTATATGTACATAATAATATACTCTAGACGTCCAGATCTATATTAATATATTTAATTTATTTATTTATTTATTTATTTATTTATTTTTTTAGAAATAAAACTCAATATAAATGTAAATTGCATAATTATTTGCCAAAGTCCGAAAGCATAAATTCATACTTACAAGGTGGAAACATTTCTGTCACATCACCCCTGCATCTACACTATCATTAACAAAGAATCATTACATGTTTTTTAGTCTTATTATAAAACCATAGGTTATTCATGCCGTCATTTTTATGAATATTGAATAATGAGTATTTCAATAGAGTCTCTCGATCTGCCATTAACTTTACAGGCCATGTTAGTGTTGGATGTATTCCTATTGATAAACTGTCATCCGACCAACGGAATGAATAATGTACATTTTAATGATGATTGTTCCTTTTAGTCTGTCTTTCTGGTTAATTGGTCTGAACAGTATCTCAATTATGACGCCACTTTCCTACGTAATTAGACATCATGCACATTCTCAACAGCATGTTATTTCATAATTATCAATGGTGCATTTAGTTTAGTCAGCTGTTGCTTTAGTGCGCTTTTCATAAATCGCCTATTCTTCGTATATATCATGAATATTGTCTTCTGTCATAAACTAATGTTTTATGAATGTATTTGTGTAATACCTATTTGGGGAGCTGTTATGATAACCAAGCTTTTAACAAACATAAAATCAGTGCGTAATCACGTACAAGTATATTAAATGTAACTTCAACTGATGTTTCGGTTTTTAGCTTCGATTGCAGTTTACATGTTTTAATGACAGGTAGTGCAGCTAAGGAACAGTAATGACATAATATAGTTGCTGTGATTAATACACAACCAACCAAGACCAGAATGTTTTGGAACAGAGCCAGTCTAATTGCATTTCGTGGCCATAGCATGCAATACTTTTATGCGTCCCTGTGTGACTATGTCTAGTCACAATATTGAATCCACGAAAAAAAACAAAGTGTGTTCATACATGTACTATGATTTCATAACTGTATCATACAATTATTGACTACACTCGTGACGCTTTCTTATATTTCTCATACATTTAGTCATTATAGAGTAAGTAATATTTACATTTACAGAATTCTGTTTTTGTTCTCACTGTAGGGCCACCTGTTATTGTGACGGCCAGTGTACTCATCAATAGTTTCTATTCCTCTACAGACACAGGAATGGTGAGTAACGTCCATACAATGGGAAGGAACATTAATGACCTGTATGTAATTGTTAACGTATTAACATATTAATAATATTGATAACCTCGACAGTCAACGGAAGTTAGTATTTAACCATTATCTCGACGTCATTTATGTTTTGTAATTACACACGACATTATACCAAATCTTTATAATTGTATGCGGGTTCACTCGGTAAATCAAAATAACCGGAAATAAGGTCATTTTAATATGTAAAAAGTGTGCTATCTAATAAAAAATATGTCAGAATATGTTATCTGAATGCTGCTTCTCACATCGTCCAAATATTTGTTTTATATGCACTTTAATTGGATAAAATCGTAATTTCTACATAATAGTTGAATCTGTGTCTTAAATTCAACTCTAAGGCTAGCATTCTACCAGACTATGTGATAACAAAATATTTTAATCTCCAATTTTCCATAGATTGATAGCATTATTTTTTCGTCTAAACTATTAAACCAAGGTTTTTTTTATAAGAGAACGACTAGATACAAAAATATTGTAGTTGAACACAATAACATTGTTTAACAGATGATATCGGATGAAAATAATGTCACTTGTCTGATGTAGACCCAATAAAAATTATTCGAATATGATTTAAAGATTGTCTGACTATTGCTACATGTGGGGCAGGTTTTGCAAATACGTTTCCAATCTCCAATTATAGCATATTGATAATGTCATGTCTTCGATAAAAATGTAATTCTTAATATTGCTGTAAGAATTACGTCAACATAAATAATTATTATATGTTAGATGTGATTTAAAGTGCTTCGTTTAACCACCATGACTTCATATTTTAAAGCTTGTGGCCGAGGTAATTATAAAAGGACAATGCTCCAACGATATTTGATTTTGAGATAATATAGATATTAAAACGTAGGTATCTTTAGTGTCCATGCATGTATTGAAACACGTAGATGTTGAGTTTTATCACTGTCATACGTTACTGTCATACGTCACGGTAGTACATTCGCCGCCGTATTGACTAAAGGTTGTTGGTAGACTATTGTGTCATTCATTCTCGCACACGTATTTGATAGTGGAAGTTGAAAGACTAGGCAAGCAGGTCACTAAAACCTCTAATCTTGAAAGAGTTTCTTTGCTCAGTGTAATTTACTAGGATCGTTAAAAAAGCACGAGCAGACGAGAGACGTGTAAATTTTCACCAGCGGCAGAAATCCAAAGCCGAGTCAGATTTATTAGAGAATGTAATACTGAAATTTATGTTTGCATGCCAGGTGTTCTACATAAGCATAGAACACCCCGTAGAATACGTAGAAGTATTAGCTCCGTGTTGCCTTATTTTAATTTATTTTACACTCTCCATCGTTCTCATGCGATGAATATTGTGAGCTAAGTTTATCCAATGATCTGAAATAGCCGTATGTTACATTGTTAGAAATTTGTTACAATTGTATCAGAAGTACAGTATAAACGCAGCCACGACATTTTATTTCTATTGAGAGTAAGATGGTTTAATGTGAGTTAAAACATACTACCCAAACCATATATAACTATGTATATCGGAACAGGGCCGCCACGCCTCTATGTTCAAATGGTGTAGTCATGTGACATATGTTGCGCAATGTGTGAATACAGTACACATGTGTAGAGTGTTTGACCTTTAGTCATAGTTCTTGTAATTAGGTCATGTTCAAATTGTGACTGGTATACATGATATCAAGTGCTACACCATGGTCGACCTATGAACATTCTCGAAAAATCACATGACATAAGGGCAATGTCCGACATCACATACTAGATAGCTCAATTGGGCAGCGAGTCTATCGTATAGCCCATTGAATGGTCGTTAAATTCGATCCGAGTCTAGTTTTATTTTCTTAGCATAGCGAAACTTCGCCAGCTCTTCGAAGTCATTAGGAGATCAAGGACATTTTATGAGAATTAAATTATTCGACTGGATGAAACGAAACAGGCTTAAAACAGAACATTTCGTGTATATAAATCTTGCAAAGAAGAATTATTGTTGTTTGAGAGGCACTTGGTAGTTTTGACATGTGGTTGACTGAAGTGGTCATGCTGTGTAGCAAACGATGATTCCGTAATCGCATGAAACCCCCAATTGCATGCGTGCACCGAGTGTACTTTCAATAACACGCTGTCTGCATGGTTCTTCATAATCGATAAAAAGAGCCATATACTGTATACTTGAAATGTGTAACGGGGAATGCAATTAATTTCATTTACGATAATTATAAATGTTATATATTACAAACACAGGATGAGGAAATTAAAAACGTTTAAGTAGGTCTTAAATTAAATAATGTTGTCTCGAATAGATTGTGCGGCCCCTTTGATCTTACAGTGAAATACAAATCCATATATATATATATATATATATATTACAATTACGAAATATATGTCCTCTCTTTGCTGAATTATTCATTTGTATCAGTATACACCTTAACATTGTTACATTTGCCTTTTGCAAATGTTGTTAGATGGCCGGAAATTTGTCAGAATATTTATGCTTCATTCTCGCTCGACTGAACCCTGACAAACAGAACAGTATAAACCACAGAATTTACGATGGTACATTTATATATCATCCTTTAATGGCTTACAGACAGTATTTTTTTTTGAACTGACACATTCTTCTCGACGTACTTAAGCACCGCAGTCACCGTACTGCTCCATGTTCGAAATTGTTCCCATGTGACATATACAAACACGTGTAAAATAATGTGTTTCATTGCATGAAATTCGAGCGGATGACTGTGGCGCTTTGACTCAAGTCATATTAATCAGACAATAAATAAAAGTAAACACTAAACGATTTCCCTCATAGACTCTTAAATTACTATCATGATTGTTAAAGTCTAAAGTGAGGTCGCATTCCCAGTTTGAAAATAAAACATCACAACAAGACGTAAAATGTAATAAAATGGTAATTTTTTGACTAAAAACTAATTTTATGTTCAGAGAGTCTTTAAACAATGTTACTGACATTTCAGAACAAATAAAGCATCCAAACTCAGCGAGTGTCAATTGTACACAAATCTAGCTATTTTTGGAATGCCCGTTTTATTCATATTCTACAGTTAATTCCTCATTGTCCTTTCACAATTTCAACATTTGATCAGGCCTAGGGGTGGTACCTTACAGGTTTTAGAAGTGGGAATGTCACTTTAAAGGTTATACACTAGGGACTAAAGTATATTGTTAATGCTGTTCTTCAATGGTGATGTATCTAACAAAAGTCAGCACCAGTACTCTGTGTTGTGAACACGGTTATCACATTACAGTTGGATTTCCGGTATCGTTATATTCTGGAATTAGTCTTCAGTTGAAGTGTTTGTTTGTGTCCATGTGGCAAAGAAAGAAAACACCGTGGAGGGAAGTATAACAAACAGGAACGGAAACTACATATACGAGGGACAGAGACTAGAAGTCGAACCTATACCCCGGGAGGAGGACTTTCAATCGCAATGGGGTGTGTGGCCCAATTATTTTTGACCCCACCCACTACCAGACAATTGCTTTCAGTAATTGCATACCCACTTCTACACCAACGTATCAGTTATATCAGAGTACTGAAAAGCACATGCACTGTACCACACGATATATAAAACAGGTCAGACTTCATTATACGTGCGGCAACATCAGTGACAGCTCTCGAATAACAGTTTTCAGGCGTTTTTCAACAATGTTTGGATATATTTCTTAAAAGGTTTACATTTTAAAAATCCAACCCACTTCTAGATCATAAACATATCAATATCGATATCCCATTCTATACTAACCGATGAAAAAGCATACTCAGTAGAGTGGCACATACCCGTATATATTTTCAATGGGGGACCTCTAATATGGTGTTAATTCGTGGGTAACTGTTGTGAAAATGGGACCACCTAAATCGTGTGCTTATTTGGCTTGTCAAATTGACCTTGTTTGATTTGTGATTTGATTTGTAATAATAATACTATAAAAGCTATTTTATTTGTATTATTCATTATTTATTAAGTATTTAATTCAGTTAATTATCATTCTACTAATATCTTGTTACTAGTGGAAACTAATACATGTACCCGCTACACTTACATTTGAATCTTATGAAGCAGCTGGAATAAGTGATATAACACTTTTGCTTACGTTCATGATTGGGTAAAGAAAAATGAAAGAAATATGGCCATGTCTATATTTTTGGAATTGTATGTTTGATCATCTTGTAATTTGCGTGAATGCTTCAATTCTCGTTGGATGAGAGATGCGCTATTTTTTGTCGATAATTGTCACTGAAATTTCCACTAACCATTCAGCCTGTTTATGTATTAGCAAATATTGAGCCTGACATTATGAAATTTATCTGTATATACTGTTTTATAATAGGATTATACAGTTACGTTATTTCTTCGAACACGATGGGTTGATCCCCGACTAGAGTACACTGATGATAAAAACCAAACGCTGACGTTACATTCAGATGGAGTTAATGAAGTCTGGGTGCCACCTCTTTACTTCCCAGATGAGAAGTCTGGACAGTTTCATAAACTGACAACGGAGAACGTGTTGTTGAGAATATACCCTGATGGGACTGTACTACATAGTGCAAGGTACAGTTGGGTTATCTAACTTTATTGTGTGGAATAAAAAGTCAATGAGTAAATATTAAATTGGCACAAGACAACTTACGGAGTTAAGATAAACGTAGCCCCGTCTTTCAGGATTATATAATCGCCGATCACCAGACGACGGTGTCAATGCACTTACAGTGTGCGACTCTAATGTTTTACTAAATTGAGTACGGATTGTTTAAGTAATAACCCCTCCACGATTTTTTCATATTAAGAATTACTAGTTATTTTCATCTAGACATTAGGACATTTCAGGACGGTTTGAGATGTCGTTTGCTTGTGAATGTTCTACCCCATATCCGAAATACAAGCATGTTTATTTTTTTTTAAATTAAAATAATGTAATTGACGGATCGCCGCTATCAATCCCTTCCAACAATCTTAGTGACAGGACTGACACTAAACACGCGACATTTGCCAATTCTTGGAAAGAGCAAAATCTTAAATGTTGTTCAAAATAGTTTCCTCATTCATTTTATATCTACATGAATAGTTGAAAATATGCTGTCATGAATGGAGGGTCACCGAAATATTCTATGGCGGAAATTAACTAAACTCGAACACAGGATCTGTAACTGCGCTTCTATCATTAGACTGGTAGCCAATTGTTACGAACATATTGTGTCATCCTCGGTATTAGCTTAGGCATAGACACACAATAGAATAATCGTCACATCTCATATATAGTGCCTTCTCTCAAATTAGATCGTGGAACTATATATGTATATGGCATGAGTTGGATTGAACACATTTGAGCGTATTTATTGTTTGATTAAAAATTATTGTAAAGGTTTTCATTGTGGTATATGAAAATATGGTTAACAGTTTATTAAACGCAAAAATATTGAACACAATACACGTAATGTGTGTTGAGTGAAATATTATTATAGGTATGTTGACGTTGACTAATCTGATGGAATGATAAAAACCGCGCGCAGTTCATTTTTGATTCGAAACAAGCAATTCTTTGCAGTATATATGCCATTTACATGCGCGTTGCGTAGACGTTAGAGAAATATGTGCGTTTCAAGCATCGGGAAGTATCATTTAGCATTAAATAGGAACGTGTGTGTTTGCACATACATAATTATGTTTGAACATCGAATGAGAGTATTGTAAGGATTGTTCTGTAATTCCGTAGAATCACATTTCCCGTAGAATTGATGAAATGCTATTTATTCTGACAGATTCACTATCACATTGAGTTGTATGATGCATTTAGAACGCTATCCAATGGATGAACAGACATGCAATATGGAAATTGAAAGCTGTGAGTATTTGCAGTTAACTAGGTATAATGAGTACCACGTCCGTGAACATGTGCTGAATTAGCCATTCGTTTGGATATCGGAAATTCATGCAAATATCTACGTAACATTCGAGCAATTTTATCTATGTTATTTATTCCGCAAGCAAACAATCTCACAGACACGCATGTCGTACAATGTTGTATCTCACCATGGGAAAGTCTTTAATAAAAAGATTATATTACGAGAATGCCTCGAAGACAGCACTGTCGATTTTTATACTTTGAGTTATTACATACTATTAATCATTATATTATTTTGACAACTTCCGAATCGAACCCTTGCGTGATTCTATAAAGAAGTCGCATATTTAACCTTGATGAAATAATGAATTCGATTCAGCATTTGGCAATAGACATAAATCTAAATGACGGGATGTCGAATTGTCATACAGGAGGCACTTTAATACACTTGTACATGTTCCGCAGGTATTGTGGGGAGGCGATAACCGAATAGGCAAGCCTTGGCTCGCGATGTCCCGCAAGCGTCTATTGTCGTGTATACATTAATAGCTTATGACTTTTGTGTCCTTGCAATGTTACAAATTACGGCTTGGTCGTGCGAAATGTCACTATATATATATATAGTCGTAT